CACTGATTTGCGTATTTTAGCACAATGTGGTTTATTTTTTTTTTGCGAGAATCTTCAGGTTACTGCTCTTGCTAGACTAGGAAAAAATGAGTCACACTTTTGACCTTGTTAGGTACCGCATAGTAAGATCTTATCTTTTAGAGTACACCTATTGTTTAGCCAAACTTTCGCCAAATTATTGGTTATTGTCAGTTGAGTCATATTTAGTATCTATACTTGAAGAAACCATGATTTCGGATATGTAGTAGGTCAATGCGAATAAATTAAACGGCTTTTATCCATTTACTTTTTTCACTATTTTCTCTTCCTTCTAGAATATTTTTGTACAGAGGAATAACCCACAACACTTCTAAATTCGGGGAATTAAGTAATTATATTTAATCTAAAAACTTGTGTTACATTAGTTTCCGCACAGTTTTTCAAATATAATATAACAAGTGGATTTTTTCCGACAAAATTTGTGACACAAATTACCGAGTAGCTGTTGCCAGGAAAATCACACGAGTCGACGAAGGAGACGATTTTTCACACAAATTTTGCAGAGAAATTCAGATCACGAGTTATATTCGGCTTGACAATCCAAAGAGAAAATTTGTATTTACTTTTTACGGACAATAATTCACATAATTTATAGTTAGCGTAGTAGTTGAGTAACTATATCTACCTATCTCATTATCATTTTTTATTAAAGTTCATTTAACCAGTTTGACAAATTAATCTGACATAATTTTTTTCGCTGAAAAATAGTGTTGTTGCATGACAGGATGTTTTTGACTGAAAAAATTTTTCGGTGAATGCCATTGAACAAATTTCACACAATTTTGCCCTTTTATTGGTTAAAAATTTTCGAGTTGGATTGTCAGAAAAATTTAATATAGCTGTTTTTCGATACGTAGCTTAATAATAATAATATTCTCCTGTCGCGTCGAAGTATTTTCATTAGGTTTTGTTAATACCATATTATTCATCAATTTGTAAGTTGGAACCATTAATAGAATTCATTGAAAATAGTTTTCATGTTTTTATAATTCCTAATTTTTATAATTATTTAATTAGTCGACAATATTGCACTGCATAAATTTGGTACTTTACCTAAATTATTAAATTCAAGGTTAACCTTATCTTTCTGTCTGGCGAGGGAGTCTGTGATAAACATAAAATCTGATTAAAATGAAAAGATCACTAATCTTATCGGGATCTTCCAACTCTCCAGCGCATGTATTTTCTTGTAGACAATGAGGTTTGTACAGTTTTATATTGGTTATTAATAAAAGAAGCCAATATTGTGCACTCAATTTATATGAAATTGTTTATGTTTGCACACCTATTTTATTGCACTATTTAGAATCAAATACCCTGACAAAGATCAGATATTGTGATAAATAATAAAAGGTCGTTAGTGGACGCCAATTTATTAAGACTAAACATATTAACAATGTCAGTTATAAAAATTAAGAATAATAAGGCACTTAAATTGGACCCCTGTTATATTTCTAATATTACATCCTTGTTTACGTAAATCTAAATAGTGAGACATCGTGTCTTTGGGCAAAAGATAACAACTTGTTTTTCAGAAATACAGAAGAGAAAACGATTTGTTACAATAAAGTGTTTGGTTCTAGAGATTTTAAAATTTGTAACATTAATTTATCTGTAATTTCAAATGGTTATGCCAACTATAGTAATTACTATTTCACTGAGACGCCACCAAGGTAAACATACTTCATAAATTACAACAGTTTTGAATACAGATTAAAATTGGAATAAATAAATAACATCATTGTTAGTTATTAGTGTATAACTTTTGTTTATATTAGTTTTATATATACAGGTAAGTCACTTAGACCGTAGTTCTCGATTAGTAATTAATCATTAATTATTAGAGACAGAAAAAATTAGAGACTAAAGTTGTATGATTTTTTGAGTAAGCATATATTAAAATTATGTTCGAATATAGTGTTTTGTTTTTGAGGCATAGTGCACAACTTACTTTTTTGTTTTTTTAATAGAACACTATGTATTTTTATATATCCTTATTAGTTTCTTTTTAAAATTTGCCACATTATTCCAATTTTCTTGAATTTTTTTAAGAAAACGTCACATTTTCAAATATCGATATTTCAGTTTTTTTCAAATGGGACACACATTATTTTAATACTGTTGTATCTTAGACTATTTTTGCTGTCTCTCTTTCAATGTGTTAGTGTGTGTCAAATAATAAGATTCAGAAATAAAATACAGGGTGTTTTCCCCAACAGAGAGATATTTAATTATCTTCCCATAAAATAATGTAACTTACTCATAATTTGTAAAAATATATAGGGTGTTCTATTTGAAAAAACTAAGTTGTCTGATTCGCTTAAAAAACAACACTCTGCAGAGTTGAAGATAATTTTAAACAAACGTCCAACTTGAATACTTGAATTTATTTCTTTTTCCAATATTTCTCACTAATAAATTAAGGGGATGGTGAGTGTCCCACGCTGTATATACCGGGTGTCTGGAAAATGGCGGATTAACTCTTCAGTAGTTATGTATGGGGGTTCCAACAGTTGCAAAAAAATTGTAAAAACATTCTTCATGATGTAGATTACGAAAAAAACGTCATTTTATAAAAGTAAAATTGGCAACACTGCACGCAATACCTCCGGCCTACTTTATTTTTTTTTAGGACAATAACCATAACAACCAGTAGTCATTAATTGTTGCGCATTATTATTAATAAAACAACAACATTAATAAATAAACCAAAAAAAAATACATTTCATAAGACATTTTTAAATTATAAACAAAAACAAAATCAACAAAAGAACAATCCATTAAACCATAACCAACTAAACACTAGAGAAGATGTTCAAAAATCCTGCTTTGTGCCTATAAGTAAGCTCGTAATGTTTCCAAATTTTAATTATTTTTTGTAAAAGTTAGTCATCAGTACTTGCTTAGATAAAAGTGATTTTGGCAAATGGATCCCTCTAAGAAAAGAGAGGGAGGGTGGGCGGGGCTAGTACAAATTCATGAGATCCTGTTGGTGATACTGGTAGTATTGCCAAAGAAAACGAATGATAAACCCCGGAACTATGAATCTCAAAATTTGGTTTTTGAGTATGGCTTAATAACGATTTTGTTTAGAAAATTGAAACAGATTGGAAAATGTTTATTTTTTGACCAAATTTTTCCGTATGGCCAAAATTTTAGGATTTACGTCATATATATCGCTTAAACGAACTCCGATTTATCTGAAAATTCCTCTCTTCTCTAATTCGAACCTCCTGGATAAGAATCTGGTGCCAAAAAGAATTGTAGGATAATTGTAGTGATAAATAGCCCCGCCCGCCCACCCTGTTTCCTTTTCAGTGATTGATTTTATCCGATCGGAATGAAATAAATGATCTTATACTGAACAGAAATAAAATCAGTGGTTAGAATGAGACGAATGATAGTATTTGCTAAGATAAGAATGATTTTGGCAAATAACATACCTTCCAAGAAAATAGAGGGCGGGTGGGTGGGGCTAGTACTTGCTAAGATAAGACTGATTTTGAGAAATATTAACTAAAATTTGTATTATTAAGTAGTTATTGTGACTCCACCAAAATGTGAGAAGGAATTTTTTACTATCAGTTGATTGTTAAGAGCGTAGCCATTTTCCAGACATCCTGTATATACAAAAATAATAAAAGCGGATAGGTTTTACGATGCAAATTATGAAGACGGTATTCTAAATGAGAATAGAGAGTACACAATGGAATAATTAACGTTTGTTGTTCTGGAAACTTTGATTTGAGTTAACAGCTCAGACATGAATGAAAGCAATGAACAATATGAAGGATATTAAAAAGAACTGTCTTTGATTTAACTTGCTTAATGCTTGATTTAATGTTCAAAGTTAGATTTAATGTTAATTTGACAACTTAAAAAACTATATATAAACTTGATTTTTTCTTACATATATTGAGAAAAATATTTCAAATGGTTTTTCTACAGGATTGTAAGCGTGCATAAATTTAAATGTGAAAACCTACTAGAGTAAAACACTGAAAATCACTAACCAAGTTGCCAGCTATTGATTTATTTAGTTAAATCGAATGTATCATCAATTACAGTCAAAACAATTTAAACTTTAGGTGCGTTAATTTATCGATGCAACAATGGCTCTATAAAATATACCATATGGAACAAGTGTTAAAATTGCGCAATTTGTAAACAGGGCTACTGCATTCAACTTTCGACCTTGTTTGCAAATTTTCCAACTTCTGGAACAAATTGACATCTTTAATGCTCGCATAAACGTATTTCCTTACAATAGTTTAAAGTTTACCAAACACCTGAATAAGATTATATTATTGATTTATAAGTAACACCGTTACGAAACATGGTTGCAACTTGTTAAAATAATGGTAACCGAAAAAAGGTATGTGTCATTCTGTTCTACAATGTTTTTGTTTCTTCACGTAATTATGGTATTAATTTACATCATACTCGCTATTAAACTTCAGGTATGCCAAGAACAAATACCTTTTCTTCCTTTGAATGTTTTTGTATTAATGTCCTCTCTTTCATGGTACTTAGTTACACAAAACATGCTTAACCTACAATAAGCATTATTGTAACTAATGGATTTACAAAAATACTTTCGCTAATATACATATCATAATAATTCTAAATTATTTCCATGACGCAAGACAAAATTTTATCTACGTCTATCTATTGTCTAGGTTATATTGAATGAATTATCAAAAATCATACTGGCAATTCATAATCGCTTAAGCAGCTGTCGGTATATGTTACTGCATTCACATGCACGAATTTCCAACTCTTTGACTCCTTTTTACATTAAAAAATAGTTTCTCGCGAAAAACACCTTTATCATAAAAAACATTCTTAGAAAACTTATGTGTGAGAGATTCGTCCTATAGTCAATTAGATATACGTAGATAAATTTTAAACTAGCAAGTACTCCACATAGATAATAAAAGCTCACCGACTATAAGTAGACGCTATCCAGTGTCTACAGTACTTCACAATCATGTCTTCAAACGTGGTAGTTCTTTCCCTTTTGCTTTGCTTCTCTTCAGCTTTTTGTAATACTGAACTAAACTATGACACAGTTTACCACGAATATGTCAACGAAGTCATCCAGTTTGAAGCAATTAAAGAAAAAATTCAAAGAAGTCTTTTAGACATAGACGAAGGTACATGGGTGGCTTTACAAAGTAAGTTTAATTAACTTTTATACTGCTGTTAGTAAATCTGAAATCAATTTCAGTGCTTGATGCTTCTACAAAAATTCCTTCTGGACTTCTTCAAGGAAACGTTTTTGATTTAGGAAATTTCGATGAGTGCTATGCTATTAAATATGAAGATATATATGGCAAATACTGTTTGGGTACTTTACAGATGACCTTACCGACACAAAAGTATTTTGACGTTTTCAAATTTAATAACACACAAAGACGACCTGTACGTATTCAGATATTATTATTATAAAAAACATAGATTAACGTTCCAGAAATTTAATATACATCCTCAGCCCAGGCTTGCAGACCTTAGTGAAGAGTATATAGGGTACCATTTTGCTGCGTGTGTACCTAGCAACTGGTCAGCTTCAGATATTCCAGGTTTGTTAACATACACCGAAGACATGTGTTATTCTAAGGCAACCGAACCAGAATTGTCACCAGGAGCAATAGGAACCATTGTAGTTTTGTCTTTATTTCTGGCTGCAATAGTAGCATCAACGGCTTTTGACATATTTCTACATTACACTAACAAAGGTAGAGCTTATTTTATATAAGTCATAAAGTAACGTAAACATTTCTAGAACCTCCACATGAGTTGTTCATATCGTTTTCGGTCTTAACCAATGGTCGTAAAATTTTCAAATCAACTACCAATCCTGATCAGTTGTTGTGTTTAAATGGTATAAAAGCTATTAGCATGATGTGGGTCATTATTGGGCACGAATATTCAAATGCACTGGATGCACCTCTATCAAATGTTCTTGATGTTGTGGAGGTACGAATCTTTGTTGTTTTTATAATCATAAATAGTGTTAAATTTTAGTGGCAACAAAATTCTGCCAACATGTTTATAATGGGTGCTACGGTATCAGTGGATACATTTTTCGTAGTAGGTGGTCTCGTAACAGTTTACACGTTTCTAAAATCCATGGATAAAGGGGTCAAATTCAACATAATACTTTACTACATTCATCGTTATCTTAGATTAACACCTGCACTAGTTATTATGAGTTTGATTCATCTATATCTATTGAATCAATTTGCTAATGGACCTTTATGGAACGTCGTGGATGTAATATTAGTGGAAACGTGCGAAGAGGGTTGGTGGAGCACTCTCCTCTACATCACCAATTACGTACAACGTGGAATAGTAAGTTATATTTAAAATTTATTGTCTGGTGTTTCTATAGAAGAAGTGTAGTGTGTACCACAGGCATGGTATCTTTCCGTGGACATGCAACTTTACGTTCTTTCCCCCATTATTCTTATTCCTTTGTGGCGATGGCCGAAAATAGGTCTTGGTGCTCTGGGACTTCTAGCTGTTGCTGGATGTGTAGTACCGTTTGCAATAGGATATTCCGAAAATTTGGGAACCATGATGACTGGTGATACGTACGTTTGGGTACTCCAGTATGAACACGTGTTTTAAAATCGAAGTTTTAGGACGAAGTACATGAACGATTATTACATTCAGACCTATACCAGATTTGGTCCTTACGTGATAGGAATGATTTTGGGTTATGTTTTGTACAAGATCAAAAAGTCTGAAAGGAAAGTGCGATTGTCACGGGTATGACAGTTAAATTTTTATTTTTTTTACGCTTAAGAGAAAATTTATAGTTGACGACATGTATCCTATGGTTATTTTTTTTGACCGGTCTTACTGCTTGTGTGTACGCCGGTTTTCCATTGGACGTAGCTAAGGAAGAAGATAGATGGGGCAATTCTATGTTTTTAGCATTTAATAGACCAGCTTGGGCTGTTGCTCTATCAGGAGTCATTTTCCTCTGTGTTGCTGGTTACGGTGGACCGATAGATAAATTTCTGTCATTACCAATTTTCCAGTTTTTGACCAAACTATCTTATTCTATGTACTTAGTTCATTACGCTGTTATCACAGTTAGATATTCAGCAATGAGGAATCTTTGGAAATTTTCTGATATCGCTGTCGTAAGCTGGATAATATTTACAGATTGGTGATTAACGATTAATGTTCATTTTTGCAGATGCATGCTTTCTGGGGAGATTTTATTTTTACACTATTTTTATCCTTAATTTTGTCCCTGTCTTTCGAATCTCCAATTATCATCTTGGAGAAGTACATATTTGGACGTGGTACAGCTACTCAGGTACAACAAAAGAAGAAACCAGAAGTCTAGTACTCTCGTTATTAGTTGGAATATTTATTTATTTATTTTTGTATATAGAATTTTCTAATTAAAACTGTTATACTATTACTAATAATAAGGACCGAATCCAATAAAATGTAGCAATTTTTTATTCTTGAAGTATATTATTTATTGTTGTATACCACTTTTAATCTCTAATCAAAAATGTCAGTTTCCCGTTTCCGTCTGTCCGTCTGCTCGTAATTTTATTAGATAATACAGGACCACTTGCTGTGGAATTTTGATTGTGTTTCAAGCCTGTGGTGTAAATAACTAAAGGCTAATCGAAATTTGTTTATTTATCTCCCACCACAATTTGCTAACCTTATCTAAATACTTATTCTATTAAGGAAACCATATTTAAATTTCATACAATAATCATGAGCGTTTGGTTCATCTACCATTATTTTTAACTTGACTTGTGCAGATTTTTATTTAGCGTTTAGCTAAGAGGTTATCATCAGCCTGAAATATGCCAACTAAAATTTTGAAGACACCGCTTTAAAAGTATCCAAAGTAAATCCTATTTAAAATGTCTAAAACAATAATGAGTTTAAAGTTGTGGTTTATTAATCTAGCGACATTTTTATTTCATTATGAAGGTGTTATCATATCACATAATTTTATAATTGTTCTAAGAAATGGGGATTGTTTGATTCTGCTTTAAGTGCAAGAAAAGTTCTCGCTAAATAACTTTAGATACATATTTTTTTTTGGATTTAAAGAAGACAGTTCATATTTCAAGCAGGGGAAAATTTAACATAGCAAGGCAAATACAGAACTTGTCTCAGCGTAATCAAGACAGGTTTTCATTAAAAATAGGGTCGAATGGCTCTTTGGTAATGTCTGATATCTCAAGTTTTATGGCTTCATTTTAAACTAGTTCTTACGTCACAGCGTCGTCTACTAAAAATACTTCCTACACAAATACTTCGAATGTTAGGATTTTTTAAGGTTTTCAGCCTTTTCGTATCCTTATGGATAGAAGAAAAAGCCACGCATGATATCATTAAAAAAATCTATTTAATACTGTTTGACTTGTAAGATATTTGCATTATTTTTATTATTTAAAAAGTTTGCAGTAAAATAAATTAATTAGTTTTTAAAAATCGAACGTTTAAGTTTTGTTATATTTCGAAGTATCTTATATAAATCGTGACTATTTTTATCGAGTTTGAAGTCCAAATAAAATTCATTCTGATGTGATTAACCGATAAAACATGTGTGTGCTACAATAGTTACAACATTATTTAATCCAGGATTATAAATTGACTTTTATGATTTTCCTACCGGCTATAATTGTGAATAACAATAAAATTTAATCCTTTATGCAAGTGATAAGTCAATGATTTGTTTTATCAGTCATAACCCAATTGTCGAGATTTAGGAAGATACTCAATGTTAGTAGGATTAGTTTTGTTGTATGTTTCAAAAAGCTGTTTTGATTCACATTTTTTTTTAACAAAGAACTAGCAAACTTTTAAATTTTGCACCTGACCATTAACAAACTGTCATGTTTTTTTTCAAATGTAACACTTCTTTTTTTACTTTTCAGTTTTACTCGTGGAATAATAATGAAGGCCGTAAACTTCTTTGACCTCAAAAACGTTGTAAATACTTATTACAGCCGTCTATCATAATAAATAGTGTGTGGCATTTAAGGTATTTTCATAAGTCTACACCCACCTCTGCACAATGATTGGAAACCGATTGTTTAATCTCTTCAGCGGTATATATTTGAGCATAAGATTCTGTAAAAATTCCTTCCTGCATAACTCGAAACGCCACACCATCATCTTTGTAAATATGTACAGAGAAGTTGTAACGGTATTTTCAGATTGTGTACACCATATTACCCTATAATTTCTTGATTATTGGTAAATTTTTTAAATTCATGGGGATTATGACATCTTAAGAGTAGGCTGCAATTTTTGACCGTTGAAACGTCGGGGATTTCCAAGCTAAAATTAACCGCATTAACGTTTCGAAATGACGCCTGATTTGGGTTTGGAAGCAGTTTGTAGCAATTTTTTTTTTAATATTTATAGTAGCTGTATCGGTAATTTTAGTAACTACTCAACACAGCAAAATGATTCAGTGCCAAAAAAAACATCACGTATAAAGAGTGGCTTCAAATTTATTCACTAGTACCATCATCCAACAATTGAGTAAAATCTATATCTCAAAAATTGGAGAAACACAGACAGCACCTGGATGAACCCCACGCCACTCATCAAATTGATTTTTGATTGTATAATTTGTTAGTAGAGCTAAACAAAAGTAACTAAATAAAAATGTGATTTTTCAAGTTTTCAGTTTTTGTCTTTTAGTAGCCGCTGAAAGTATCTGTCGCGTCAGGATTAGCTAATTTATTTTTTCTGTAAATTTTATCTACCGATCTGTTTAAGTTTTTACATTCTGTAACTAAATTACAGTAAAATTCTTGCACTATATGAATATGGAATTAACAAATGTTACTTCCTTAATATATTTTTGGATTTTAAATAGCAAGGTAAGAGTACGGTGTATTATAGTTATTTACGTAACGAAAAACTTTTCCAATATATTTTAAAACAAAAGGATGAATTAATTCTGGAATTACAAAGAACCATCCAATTAATGCGGGACTACATTGCTACAGAGCAAAATAGTAATTTACACAACTAGTTCGGGATAGCCTGCTTCCCGCATGAACGCTTGTTTGCGGCACGACCGAAGGGAGTGACGCATTTGCGTGAATGCGGGAAGCAGGCTCACGAACGTGTTGTGTACAATATTTTTTGCAACCAATAAACGTTTAAACTGAAGAGATTAACTGTGAGTTATTTATAAACAACGGCATTGACAGCGCCGTCAACACATCACAATGTTGACACTACCCGAGTATTTTAAGGTTACCATGGCAACGGGAAGTTAAATGCACGTGTGCGGGAAGTTCGACCTCCCGCACTCTGGTGAATGCGCGAAAGCTATCAAAAAAGGTCATGAGTGCAAAAAGGAAATTACGATAGTGTAACAATTTGAAACAGAGGGCGTACCCTACTAATTAACCAATCTAAAAATTCAATTTACAACAAATTTCTCTTACTGACTTTCCTTTTTTAGTATCTGTACCTTTCAATAATTGCGAATTCGAAACTTAAATTTATCCATAGCAAGATATTTGTAACAAATGGGAAATCACCTACGAACAGTTATTAAAAAATGTCACATTCTAAGTGTTTTTGGGTATGAGTATTTCCACGACTATAAACTCAAAATTGATGAAGATTTTTCCTTAATAGGCATCACTGAACATTGGCTAAGTCCCTACGAAGCTGACATGCTGATTATTAACCACTTTTCGACTAAATCTTTCTTCTCTAGAAGGTTGTCCAAACTTGACTATGATATTTCATGTGATCATTATAATAATTGTTTTACAAAAAATGTAGCATCTCAGATCTTAAATCAAAAGAATAGCAGTAATGTTTGCAATCCGCTTGATTTTCTATAAAATATCTCCGTAAAAAGTGACTTCAGTTTTATGTTCAGTACAGTGTCATGTTTTACTGTAAGAGTATTGATGGCATAAAAAATAGTAACTGCAATGATATATAAAACCTTAATGTGCACATAATAAAAACTATAAAAAAAAATAATTTCTCTTTTAACTAAATTATTTAATTTATGCTTACGAACTTGGCTGTTCTAAAGCTCCTAGATTTTATCGCCGATTGTGTTGAAAATCGTGGTGCGACAGTGGCAACGTTCGTAGACCTAGCCAAGGTTTTTGACTGCATGTCACACAAGATACCATTGGAAAAATTAAAACACTACAATGTTCATCCAACCAGTTGTAAATTAATCAAGTAGTATTTAGAAAATAGGCGCAAATTAGTAAAATTTAAGGGATAGAAATCCAGCTCTTTACTAATAAATCAATGAGTGCCCCAAGGTTCAATCTTGGGGCCTCTACTGTTCGTCATATTTATCAACGATTTCTTAGAATCGCACCGATGTTGCTGCACGTGTAAACCTTGGATTGGTTTACCGCAAATAAATTTTGTTTAAATACCGACAAAACAGTAGATGTTGTGTTCACATTACAAAAAAAAATAGAAATTCAAAAGAAATTTTAGAAAAAGTTTAAGTCGGCCAGGTAATGCTTTGATGAAATAATATTTTCCCAACTTTAATAAAAATGTGGAATATCAAAGCTGGTTTGAATAATTAATTAATATAAATGAATAATCAATTGTTGTTTAGTAATTTTTGACTGATTTGTGCCATAAAGGCCAATTTATGCCCGTATTTGGGTGCTTATAAACAAAACTATGATTCTAAAATCGAATAAAGTCAGTGTATACAAAGTGGGTTAAGTTTAATGGTAACGAATTATTTGTATCTAAACAAATAATTAATTGCAAAATGACACAAACAATAAATAATAATTATTCAGAAAAATATCATAGAAGATTTAAGTCGCTGGCAATATTCTGGAATTAATTCTAGTCACGCACTGTGAATATAATTTATTATTTCCTGCTTATTTTTGGGGCGAAAATTTAACGCAGTTATTTTTTTTTTTCACATTAAGCCTGGACAGTTTCTATGGGATTAAGACCATGGCAACTCGTGTTGTCTGCCTGTAGTCCATCTGACACAAGTCTTAAATTGTCAAATGGGGAATTATTGTCCCGGAATCCAGTAGCATTTTTCCCTATTGGGGTAACCAGTAATAATATCCTCCAGTATCTTGCGATAAGTATCGGCGTTCAATCTTTCTTCAATAGTATACAACACACCCGGATTTCTCCACACCCATACGTTTACAAAGAATCGACCAGGTGTGTTGTTCCAGTGACACATTGTGTTTCTCCTCGAATCTTGTGTTCCGTGGTGTGTAGATTTTAACTTTATTCCGACATTCCTAGAAGTGAAGGTTTTTCGTCTGAAAAAGATTGTTTTACATGTTTTAGATGTTCTTTTCCTTTTCTTTTACGATAGTTATTCTTCTCTTCTGTTGTTCCTCTGTTCTTTTTTTTTAGTCACAGATTAATCTTTTTAGCTGTATTCTTGCCTAGTCTAACCTCTAAAATAAAAACCAAAACATCCGCAGTTTCCCGGTTA